TGAAATGCTGAGAAAACACGACACGATTAGGGATGCTAGTTGTAGAGCATTGTTCAGATCATGATTCGTGAGGTAACAGTGGAAAAAATTGGCCAAAATCATTGGAATATGAGAATTCCTGTAGAATGTGGAAAAATACCCGTAGAATTTCTGGATGCTTACCCGTAAACATAACCAAATGTCAGGAATGCAACCACACAACCGTATTTTGTCGATTCCCAGAAGGGGTTCAATACAGCGCATAGCACATACAATGTCAGCAATAAATTCCCAACTGTTGCAAATATTAAGATAAGTGTTCGTCTAGGTAGTCTGAAATCGAAATATTCAATTGTAAAACGATCGATTCAACTGAACTGATATTACTTCCACTTAATATCATGAACACTACTTGAGATTTATTAGATTTATCATCGTCATGATGATATCTATAGTGACGTTTTGATCTAAAGAACAAACTGCATCCGATGCGTTCTACTCACTCAACAGGCAGTGATAATCGATTGAGCATAACGCTTTCATGATGATACAAATGAATTAATCCTGATTTGAAAGCAAATTTTTGAATTCGACTCTCGGTATTATATTAATGAAATTCGTTGAAATTAGAGTATCTATTGAAGTATTCGGTTAATATTCAACCTTTCAACAATGAAAAATCCCGTTGTTGCACCAAAAACATACGAAACGCCCATTGCTGTCGATGACCATGCAGATAGATCGCTTTGCAAGTTCACCGAACGTAAAAAATATGTTGATGATAGTAACACAGCCCATAATGCCACCGTATTCTGAAGATACAATCCTTTGGGTCATGAAAGAATAGAACATGCCTTTATAAAAGAGGTACCATAGGTCTACCATATATCTCACAGTTCATTTGCCTGTATAACGGCTTAGGTAAAAACGAATTCAAAACATACTTATTCTCTTAACTACTTTAAAATGGTAATCTCAACAAAGAATTTGATCAACTGATAGAACGGTTTTGCCTTGAAATTCTCTTAGATGGAGGCAAATCACATGTTTTTGCAAATTATCGCAAGAAAATAATTTATAGCACCTGTAGCGCGCAACAAGCAATTACTGCAGCTTTGCGTAAATGTGGTGTAGTCGCAATTTCTTTCAAAGACGATGAACTCTTGTCTTCAGTTTCCTGCAAAGCACTCGCATCAATTTATCAGTTTGGACTGGGCATCAATCAGCATGTCAGCACATTAGCGCCGTACAAATCGCACGGTCACAAGAAATCCAAATGTGCTTGAACACAAAAATTGCATGATTATAGAACACTGATAATGCAAAGTGCAACGTTTTGCCACCAAAGTATATTATCAAAAATAAAAGTAAAAAAATTTCGCAATTTAGCAAAATGATTCATTGTTATTNTTCAACTACAAACGTCACTGATCATGCGCTCTTATCGCTGTGATAGCTGATCAGCAAATTTGGGTGAGCACTTTGAGCTGATAAGGAATTTACATATTGCAAAGTAAAAAGGAAAGTGCATACTTTCGATTATTTTCGAAAAAAGAATATTTTAAAGGATATTCGGATGAGATTATCACAAGTTTCAATTGTGCTTGAAACGGAACTACTTTTCAAGACCCTAAAGGATTTTTCATTCACTTTCAACTAGTTTCTATCGTGAAATCGGCTTCGTCCAAGCTACTGCTCAAATTAACTTATTTGAAGGAGAAATTCCCACGATTGACAACGATTATTGCTACAGCTCTACAGGTCAATTCAACGTTACAGGTCATTTTCATGGATATGTTATCGTTTGATATCCTATA